CTGATGAACCCATGCTGAGAAAGCTCAGAGCTTCCATGAAGACAGGCCCTGGCCAGTGGGGCTCATCATGTGCACCAAAAGATGGTCAGGGTACATGCCTGGGTTATGTGGCTTGATCCCTGGTAGGGGGTATGTAGTAGGCAGGAGGCAGGAGGCAGCAGGCAGCAGTGATGTCTCACTCTCACATTTATGTTTCTCTCTTTCTCCCTCTCCCTTCCTCTCTCTAAAAATCAATAAAAGATAATTTTTTACAAAACATAGGAGTGGAGGAGAGAGCCTCACACTGGTGATGAGAAGAACTCTGTGCAGGAGCCAGGGGCACAACTCCCAGGGCAGCCCACTTTCAATCGTGGGACCTCTGAAACCACTCCCCCACCCCCACCTCACCCCACAGATATCCCCAGGGGGTCCTAGCACATTGTAGGCAGGGGGCTCACCTCTCTGTCTGTCTACCCCTATGCTTAGCCGATGGAGAGAGGGGTACCAGGTGTCTGGTTCACCCCTAGTACAGCACTGGCACATGGAGAGGCCATCAGAAAACACATTTGGGGAGTGTGTGTGTGGAGGGGGAGGGGAGGGGGATGAAAGGACTTACAGCAAGTCACACAGGGAAGAGGGTACTGGATGACCTGATTCCACCCCCAGACTCAGCACCACTCCTTCTGCCCTAGTGCAGGCAGGCTCCCTAGTGGCTGCGACTTTTGTACGTGGAGGAGGCAGGAAAAGAGGACTGAGGCCTCTCTGGGGCTGCTTCTCTCCCCCTTTCTGCTTCAGTCTCTTGCCTTCTGCTGGCTGGCTTTCTCTCTCCATCTCTTTCTGCTCCTTTCTCTCCCTCCTTCCCTGCCTCTCTCTCCCTTAGTCATTTGCAAAGCGGAGATGGCCTAGCCCATCTGGGAGCGAGAGCAGGGCTGGTGACGGAGGCGCAGGTAATAGCCGAGCAGAGGAGAGAGACGTGGAAATTTATGACATTGAAAATGACTAAGAGAGAGAGAGAAAGTGTGTGTGCGAGTGTGTGAGTGTGGGAGGAGGGAGCAGGAGGGGCAGAAAAAGAGAGGGAGAGAGCTCTTTTGAGCTCTCTTATACACACACTCCCTGCTTTACCCCTCTTTCCAACCTTGCAGAGCGGAGAGGGCATGGGGAGGGCGGGGGGGGGGGGGGGGGGGAGGGCAGGGCTGCCAGCACAGTGACAGAAAGACAGACAGACAGTTGGTAGGACAGAGAGGGCAAAAGGAAGGAGAAGAGCAGATGAGACCAGGAGAGGGGGGAGGCTGTGAACCATCAGTGGAGAGATGACGAGTGTCTGGCTGTGGCGCCCGCTTGTCTCTGCCCTGGTCTCCACTTTAGGAGCTCTGGTCTGAGGTGAGGGGTGTCCCCATGGCATATGGTAGCATGGAGTCCGGAGTCTAAGCTGGTGTTTTCTGAGGGATGAGGCTCAGAAAGGGCCAGAACCTGCTCTAGGCTGCACATCAGGTCTCCTTCCTCCCAGCATGGCTATTCCCCCACATATGCTGTGGTGTGGAGAGCCAAGAAGTAGATGGACTAGATGTTGTAACCAACAGCAATTCCCTCTGAACCATGGGAGTCAGGGGAATGGCCAGAATGATCTGTCACATCTTCTTGAAGTTAGAGGAAAATGTTTCCATGTGTTGGCCCATAATCCTTTCTGCCCTAGTCACCCCTATACCACCCAGGGTGGCATGGCATCATTGGAGACAGAAGAAATGAAACATCCATCAGAGAGCTGTGCGTGCCACCCCTGACCTGGGGCCAACCCAGACCCAGTGGCCTGCCCTCCATCCCCCTTCTCAGCCCCCCTCTACTACCTTTTGGCTGGAAGGCAGCTGAGTCTCCTCCCAGGCATTGTCCCTTAACCCAGGGCTCAGGTCTTTGCTCAGAATCCTTCCTTCTCTGGACCTAAGTTTCCTCATCTTTGAAATGAGGACAGTAACACTCACCAGTGTCCATCTGCTTTGGGCCAGAGAAGCCATGGAGCTCAGGGGGAGCTCTGATCTACCTAGGTCTGGAAATGGTCCTCCATTAGAGCCATGAGTCATCTCTACTCCAGAGGAGCTCTCGGCATTCCGGCTGATGGGTGAAGGAGAGAAAATAAGACTCCCAGGCATCCCACATATACACAGCCATCTCCCAAGGAAGCTGATATGTCAGCTGCTCAAAGGGCAGAACACATGCCCTGGTACAGGCAGAGGCTGAGGCCTAGAGAGAGCCATCATACAGATGGCAAGATCTGAGTCAGGCCCTGCTAGTCCGGACCATGTACCAGGCCCCTTGTCCTGCCAGATGTGGGTGGAACAGGTGCCTTGGGGCTCGAAGAGGCCTTGCCTCCAACCTCCAGTAGCTTGGAGCCTGACTCTGCACAGGTGTCCAAGTTCCCCCAACTGTGGGGGTCACTCCCCAGCCCTGCCCTGTCTCCCTGGCAGCCTTCTCCTCCCCCCTCTTCTCCCCCTCCTCTGCTTTGTAGCCCTCTGCTGGAAAACTTTCTTGGATTAACCCCTTCTAGCCCAGGGCATCTGAAGAGGTAGTGATGTACATTGGTTGGTAGTATAAGCTTTAGGCCCAGAAAAACCCCAGATCACAGCCCCTTGGCTGGGTGATGGGCTCTTCATTTAACGTCTCTGAGTCTTATCTTCTCATCTGGCCAATGGCCCCAGGATTTGGGGACGATCACATGAAATTATGGATGCAAAGTGACTGGCACAGAGGAGGTGCTTGGCAAATGCCAGCTAGCATCCGGCCCCTGGTACCGCACCTCACTGCTTAGGGGGCTGAGGGTGAGCCCTGAGGGTGGGGAGTGGAAGAAGGGCAGTGGCAGAAGCTTCTGGGAGCTCCTGCTCACTTAGAAGAGATAAAGCCAGCCAGAGCTACAGTGGGAGAGACTCAGGTTAGCTCTATGAGGGACCAGCTCTTTGTGAGACACATCTCAAAGCCCACCTGGTCCAGTCTGTTCTGAGGCCTCATTCCAGAGGCAGCGCTAATGCAGCGGTAGTTGCTCTGTCTGGGGAGCAGAGGGGGAGGTGAAGAGTTCACTGGGCCTAGGGCTGCGGGCAGTGGGCCTCCCACCCAGCCCCAGTGCCCTGGCCCAGCCCATCATGGCTGCATAAAAGGTGACGGATGGTTAATGGGGGAGATAACAGGATTCATAAGGGAAATTTATCGGTCGCTCTGGTGGTATAAATATGTTTATAGCGGACCAAGGGGAAATGAAGAAGCCCCAATAAATCACGACGAAGCCACCAGCCACTAATAGGCAAGCAGCCACGGGAACCCCAGCATTGGCGCTTGCAGACACCCCCTCTGGCTGCCCGCTAATGGCATGGCAGGATTGCAGGCTTGTCAGGCAGGCCGCCCGGCCCACACCATGGTGGGAACAGGACCCCGGGGGCCACTTCCACAGGACCTGAGCTGACCTGCCTGGTCCAGCCTCTCCTTCGGCAGATCTGGGCTCAGTCAGACTGGAGGGCTGAGGGAACAGGGCAGGGGTGGAGGTGGGGGCATGTCAGACGTCTGGGCGGCCCCATGGTGCAGGGCTCTGGGTCAGACATGGCTTCAGACCCTCTTTGGGTTTCCTTGTCCATGAAGTGACTTTACAACCTCAGAAAGCTGTTCCGAGGAGGAGAGATAATTCATTAATCACAGGGCTTAGCACCTGGTAAACCTCCATAAATAGTAACTACTCTTCTTACTTGTTCCACGGTTTTTCCCTCTTGGGGAAAGTGCTATGCCAAAGTGAGAACACTCACATGGAAGTGGATAGCATTGTCCTCATTGTGTAGATAAGGAGCCTGAGGCTCAGACGTTAAGAGGTTTGCTTGAGGTCTCACAGCTAGAAGAGAAAGGCTCTATTCCATCTGCCCAACTTAGGCCCACTTCTTCCTCAGAGTTTCTGGGTTCCCTGTCCCCATGCTCTCCAGAAGAAGCTAGGATTCCAGGGGCCCTGAAGTCCTCAGGGCAAAGCCCTGGGGGATCTGGCAGCAACTTGCTGATGCTAGTGAACTAGGCCTCAGCTCTCTGCCCACCCCTACCCTCCTGGCCCTGCTCTTCCTTCCACTCATCTCCCACCCCCTGCACAGCCAGGACCTGACTCCATTACTACCCCCCTCCCCCGTCCCAGCACTGAGGTTGCTGGAAGCTTCCTCATGGCCTGCCCAGAGTGCTTTACACTCCCTTTCCCTCCAGACTCTGCACCTGGTCACAGCCTCAGTCCAGGTCTCCTCTAGCCCAGCTCACCGCTCCCTCCATACCTTCAGCAAATATTTATGCGGCTGCCAGGGCCTGCCCGGGAGGTACTCACTGTCTGGCGGAGGAGTCAGGCCTGGACCACAGAAAATGATGGGGTGTGTGCTTAGGCCAAGGCAGGCACCTGCAGCTGGGGAGGCCTGAATCAAAGAAGGAGCGGGAGGAAGCGGGAAAGCATTTCCAAGAGGAGAAGCAGCTTGGGTGAGAGCCTGGGGGGGGGGGGGGGGGGCACAGATGGGACGGAGCTCACTGGGGTTGGTGTGACCACTTCTCTCTCAATGCGGAGACACACAGCCGCTCCCCCCACCCGCCGCCCACTTCGGGTTCCTCACTCCTTCGTTCCTCCTTTGATGCCACCCTGTTCAGCTCACCCCACCCTGGACAACGCAGCAGCCTGCTCCCCAGTTCCCTGCTAGGACAGGCCTCTCTGAAAACAATGCCTCTCACCTAATCACTTCCTGGGGCCCAGGTCTGTCCCCCAACTCCGCTGCCCGAGACAGCAGAGCAGCTCCCTCAGCCCAGGAGGTTAGGGTCCTCACGCCAACACTGGGCGGGGGTAAGGGGGTGAGGGTGTCACAGGGCTCCCCTCTCCTTGCTGCTCCGAGAAGACACACCCAAGCTGCCTTTGCTTCCCCGATGCGCTTTGCTCGCACCTCTGTCTCGCTTTCCCTCGCAGTCCCTCTCCCTGACTCTCGGGGGGTCTCTGGCTCTCTTCCCCCCAGTCCCCCCCCCCCCCCCCACCCCTCTCTCCAGCCTCTCCCTCCCCGTCTCGGGCTCCGTCTCTCGCCGTCTCTCCCTCGCGAGCCCGGGCGGGGGGAAATCGCTCCGTAAATAGGCGGATGGCCCCGGGCGCTCCCGGCGCAGACACTCGTTTTTAGAGCCGGTAATTGACTCCTTTCAGTTGATAATTCATGGCTTGCATATGCGCTTTAATGCTGGCGCCCGGGGAGCGAGCGCGGCGGGCGGGGGGCCCTCGCGTGGAGCCGGGCGGCCGGGAGGCTGGAGAGGGAGCGGGACTCGGGGCGGGTTTCCGCCACGGCCGTCTGTCCGTCCGTGTACGGGGGGGGCGCCCCCATAGGGTCGGTCTGTGGGGCCCTCATTGGCCTGGCTACGTGACGAATTGGGAGAGCGGTGGGTGGGGTGGAGAAGCCGGTAAGTCATTGCGCCAGGGAGGGGTGGGGGTCAGGGGGCGACGAGAGACCGACTGGCAGAGCCTTCGAAATGGATGGGGGTGGCGATGGGGCAAGACATGCCAACATCTTTCCCCTTGCAGTCAAAGGGGAAACCGGGCCTAGAAAGGGGATAGGCCTTTACTCATATCCCACAGCGCAGAAACAAGACTGGAACTCAAGGTGTCCCCTTCCCACCGGGCCTCAGGCCCAGCCTTGGAAGACCCACCTGGCCCTGTGCATTTTCCTGTTTCTGAACTAAAGTCCTCCTCTACTGCTCCCGGCCAGGCTTTCCCAGGAGGCACTGGCTCGTCCCAGCGAATGCTGGACAGACACCCAGACCATGCCCCCTTCTCACTCCACAGCGACCCCCAGGTCATCTTCCGCTTGGCCTTCACCTTCTGTCGATCTGTCTCATCCTGAGGCTGTGACAGATGCCATCATTATTTCCACTTTACAGAAGAAACTGAGGCTCAGAGAAGCTGGGAGATTTGCCTAAGGCTGCAGAGAAAGCCGAACCTGGGTATAGGATCATCCAGACCAAGCCCTCCCAGGTGGAAGTACTACAGAGAGAAGGGGAGACGCAGGAGATGTCAAGTCCCCGGGGGCCCCATGTGCACCCACACATGGGCCTCAGAGAGGCCCCCACGGCAAGAGACTCTGAGGGTGCCAATGACCTGCCTACAATCACACAGACCAGGTAAAGGTGATGCTGGGAGGTAGTAAGAGGTTAGAGGTCAGTGGGGAAGCTGGAGGTGGGGAGGAAGGCAGATCCCAAATATCAACTCAAGAGAAAGCAGACAAATCCCAGCCTGGAGGGAATTCTGGCTCCAGGATGGGGCTTTCTCAGTCCCTGAGCCTGGTATCTGTTGCTCCTTTTCTCCAAGCTAATTTCAGCCAAAAATAGAATTCCATCCCCTAATTCCTCTAATATGCAAATGTTTTACCAAGTCAAAGCACCTGGCTTATTTCTGTGTCTCTCTCTCCCCCCCCCCCCCCTCCCGCCCCTGTTTATTTTTTCACCCTCTAGTGTCCCCACCTTCTTAACGAAGTTTGGACAAGGATCTCACTGAACAAGTCCTGGTAACAGTGGATCTGATTAAAGGCGATAGTGCAGTGATGTCTGGGCTGTTTGAAGCTCAATGCTGCCCCCTGGTGCCCAGACTGTTACAGCCAGTAAGCCGCAGGGAAAGGAGGCAGGAGACACTTGAGGTAAAAAAATAAATAAATAAAATAAAACCTCTCTGTCCTGCTCCCTCCTACTCCACTATGTCTGAACCTTTCAGACCTCCCTCTAGAGGGGAGGAAGAACACAGCAGGATCCCTACTCACTAAGTGAGGGTAAGCCCCGTGGCTCCTCCAGCAGAGGTCTCAGAGCCTGGAGAGGGATGGAGGCCATAGTGACAGCAGCAGTAGCCCAGTCCGCCCTGCACCTGGAGACCCCAAATGGTTTTTTCTATTTTAAGTGAGGTCAAGACTGCCCTTCCAGTGTGACTCCTGGGGTCTTCAGGAGTGTCAGTCAATGAAACACATGCCCTTTTCTGCCTGAAATTCCACCATTTGTGTTCAGAGGTCTTCAACAAATGTAGATGGGTAGATTCAATTCCTTTGTACTGAGTGAGATATTGTCTCCAGAAGGTTTGTGCTAGTTAAGGGGCGATAAGTTTTCCTAGTTGGCTGGATGTGGGACTACAAAGAGGAATGGGATAGGAGAAGGGGAAGCTGTGTATGTGTTTGTTTTTGATATGTCTATATATATCTTTACTACTTACAAGAACCTTGCATATATATTTTAACTTATTGGGGTGGCATTGGTTGATAAAATCATATAGGTTTCAGATGTGTGGTTTCTATAATACATTCTCTGTACTTTCATCTATTTTTTATTCTCAGACCCACCCTGTGAGGTAGGCAGGTTTCCATTATTCATCCTTATGAGGTCTTTTCTCCATAAATACTGAAGAATGCTTTTGGATGCTAGTTTTCATGTACTTAGAGAATAAATAAAAGTTTTCTACTGGTAAAATATGTTTTTCTGAATAACTTTCGTTTCGGAAATGCCATTAAACACTTCTTATTTTCATAGTCCATCTGGAACCAGCAACTGGAAATAGAATGGGCATGTTTCTTCAAAAGTGACTTTTGCATTGTGTGACCAATGGTGGGCCCAAAGTCGATAACAGGCCTGGTCCAGGCAGCTATCATGTGGTTTCCACGCTGTAGACACAAGGTATTGTTTTTGCCTCATCACCTCCACTGTCCCCCCACCGGTAAGACCCAGTGATGAAAGGAGTGGGAAGGGTAAGTTTTGGTATGTTGGGACAATGCTCTAACCCAGTGGTCAGCAAACTCATTAGTCAACAGAGCCAAATATCAACAGTACAATGATTGAAATTTCTTTTGAAAGCCGAAAACTGACTTATGTGCATGGGCCATGAAGTTTCAATCGCACTTTACGTGCGCGCCCACACGTGGTATTTTGTGGAAGAGCCACACTCAAGGGGCCAAAGAGCTTCATGTGGCTCTCAAGCTATGTTTTGCCGACCACTGCTCTAATCAACTGAGCTACCTGCCAGGAGGAAGGGTAAGTTTTGATCCAGGAGGATCTCAAGAGATCAGATGAAGGGAAGGTCATGAGGGAGTTGATAGGATCAAAGAAGGCTTCCTGGAGGAGTTGGCATTTGACAAAGGGCTTGAAGGACAGAAAAGATCAATGATGTTCAGGTAAAAAGAAAAGTCTGAACAGAGGTAGAAGCACATCATGCTGCCTAGAGCACAGCCTCTGCCATATCCTCATGCACGGCTCCAGTGTGAAGTCACGAGGGAGGCTGTGCTCTAGCAGAGCCAAGGCAGAGGACACTGGAGGACTTTGGGAGGTGCTGTGTGTCTCATCAAGAAATTAGCACTTTGTGGGCAAAGCACTAGAGTGTGAGCTGAGGCTTAGGTCCCAACCCAGGGTCTGCTCTGAATAGACTTCCCTTCCTTGGTCTTGTTCTCTGAAATGTTCTCTAGACCCCAGTGGGGGCCATGGCAAGTTCTTGTCTGGGAAATACCTACCGTGTTTCCCCAAAATTAAGACATCCTCCGAAAATAAGACCTACTTACAGGTTTCCTTCTGAGTGAAATATAAGGCATCCCCCCCACCCCCCAGGCTAAACATGAGAGATTTGGTCCGCTGATTTTGAAAGAAATGGAGTCACAAGAAATTCACCAGGAAATTCAGGAATTGGATTGTTATGATGATGTTCCAGAAGATGATGACATGATTGTCATTGAATAAATGAGTAAATTCTTGATACTTTAGGATTCACAGTTTGTCTGGTTTGTGTTGACAACTACCGTACCACTGTACTGTATACAGGTAATAAATTTCCTTTATTTTCATTTAACAATAAATGTGTACTGTATTCTTCTTCATGGAAAAATAAGACATCCCCTGAAAATAAGACCTAGCGCATCTTTGGGAGCAAAAATTAAAATAAGACACTGTCTTATTTTCTGAGAAACAGGGTAGGAGTCACAGCTCATAGAATAGTTAAGTGATCAAATCTAACTCCCTCAATTTGTAGGTGAGAAAACAGACCCAGAGAGGGGAAGTAATTTGCCCAGCATTGCATGGCAAGCCAGTGGCAGAGCCAAGACTGGAACCCACACTTGCAGACTCTCAGTTTGGGGCTTGTTCCCCTCTGCTACAATCTGGGATAGCATCTGGGGGACTGGGCTGGAGGAGGACAGCTGGAGGCAGAAGGCCATCAGGAGGCTATAGTGCCACCTAGATCAGAAGTCACAAGGCTGTCCAATAAGAAATGTTTATTAAGCCCTTCACCCTGATCCCCATCTTGAGTGGCTCTGAGTCCACAGATGAAGCACCTACAAGGACAGAAAAAAACTGCAAGGAAAAGGAACATGGTGGGCTTCCCAGAGGAGATAGGAGGTGGATATGGTATTCATGAGAAGGAAGGGGCATCGAGAGCAGACTTGGATAAAGATGTAGGAAGGTCTCCAGAAGAAATGGCTTGTCATTTGGGTTCCCCCTTGTTCTTGGCCAAGGTCTCCACCTCCTTCATGAACCGAAGACAGAGTTCCTCTTCCCATGGCAAAGCGATGCACTGCACAGCCACTGGCAGCCCCACGGATCCTTCCACCGCCTACACAGAGAGAATGTCTGTAAATCAGAGCCTGCTTCCTGCTCACAAGCCCCTTGCCCACCCTTCCTCACCTCCCATAGGTATGCATTAGTCCAAATATCTCATCTCTAATCCATATTAAGATATAGACTTCCTGGATCTCAGAGTTCCAGGCTTCCTCGGCTCTCGGTAAAACCTGGGGAAATTGTTCTTTGTCTACAACTCTCCAGGGTAAAACTTTGTTCCTTGTGCAAAGAGCTTACTATAACAATGAAATATAGAACCAGGTATCCAGCCAATGTTCTTAGCACAGCAAAGAAGAATGTGCAAGTCCCTGATCCAGAACCTGGTTATACTTCTGCAGTGAAACAGGCCTTGGCTCCAAACACAGGCCCAAGAATGTGGCGGCTGAGCCTGAGTGCCTGCCATGACATCCAAATATAACTTTAGGAATTTAAACATGTTCTCATTGCTTTGTGACAGCAATTTCCCATCACACTAGTATGCAGCAAGAATTTTTAAAGCATGCAATACCTGACTATTTAGTCAGGGGCACTGACCCCTTTTCTCTTGGATTGTCAAATAGAAAAATGACAACAGCCAACACAACAATAGCCATCTGGTGTGATGCCCGACTTTTTTTTTTTTTTTTTTTAATCTTCACCTGAGGATATATTATTGATTTGAGAGAGAGGGAGAGAGAGAGAGAGAGAGAGAGAGAGAGAGAGAGAGAGAGAGAGAGAGAGAGAGAGAGAGAGAGAAAGAGAGAGAGAGAGAGAGAGAGAGAGAGAGAGAGAGAGAGGTAAGAGAGAAACACCAATCAGTTGTCTCTGTTATTTCCAGGTATGTGCTCTGACCAGGAATCAAACTGGCCACCTTTTGATGCACAGGACAATACTCAACAAACTGAGCCACTACAGTTGCACTATATATATATCACTATATATATATCACAGGTAGTGTAATTATTATTATTTTCTCAGCAATTCCACTGAGTAACTCTACCACCAGGTAGGTCAGTTGATTAGAGTGTCATCTGATATAACAAGGTTATGAGTTCAATCCCAGGTCAGGGCACATTCAGGAATCAACCAATGAATGTATGAATGGAAGAACATATCAACGTTTCTCTCTTTCTGTCCTTCTTCTCTCTTTCTAAAATCAGTAAGTAAAAAATAAAATCAATAATTTCCAGAAAAATAAGTTACTTAATGTCTTACTCAGACACATGCATACTTTTCAAAGTCAGTCTCTCTCTTCCTCTCTCTTTCTCTCTCTCACCCAAGTCAGAATTGTTATTTTAGACCCTGTATTAAATAGGCCCATAGAAACATTTCCTTTTGGTAAGTCACCTCTGAATTCATAATAGTAGCATTTATTGAACACTTCCTAAATACAAGACTTTATACTAATTGCCTCAGTCTTTTTTGATTTAACCTTTAACATAACTGCAAAGTAGATTTTTTATTCCCCCTTTCCCCCCCCTGACAAAGAAACTCAGGCCCAGAGAAGGGCAGTGTCCAGTTGTTTCACAGTAAGCTCCTACCCAGGGGCCTTCACGCTGATCTGCCCTCCCTGCCTCTGGATTGGACTTTCCTTGCAGAGGTGTCGAGTAGACCACTGTTTTCATAAAGTATTCTCCCCCGACAAGGACAGAGGATGACTTGGAGCTTAAATGGTGTGTCCTCAGGGATAGGGTGACACTTTATCACTTTAGCAGAAGTGATAAAGGCTAAACCCTGGGAATGCCCAGACCCATCCCACTCTGCCCCTCACCCATCCACAGGGATTGAGGCAAGAATCAGTACCAGTCTGTGCTCCTGGGGGAGAGGGACACTGACCTCCTTGAAGTCTCTGTCATTACTATCTCCGTAGTATCCCTTGTAGAAGGCCAGTTCCTCCTCATCCTGTAGCGTTACTGTGGTGACGGGCACTACGCCAACAGGGAAGTCCAACACATTATACAGGCTGGCGTAAGAGCTGCTTTCTGTAGGAGGATCCAGGTTAGCTCAGGAAATCACCAACTCCCAAAGACTCAGGTGGGGAAGAATGTGATGTGAGTAAGTACTCCCTCGGGTCCTTCCCAGAACTGCATTTCTGTGGGCTTGAAATAGCCCCAAGAATCACCTGACAAGCACTCCCTGCTCTTCCCACAAGGTGGGAGGAAGGAGAATCCCCATTGTCCAAGCCTTACTCAGTGCCAGGCACTGCGCTGGCCTCTCTCCATTGCTGATTCTCTGAATCCTCTAACCCTTGCGAAATGGGAGTCACTAGACCCTGTGTACAAATGAAGAAACCCAGGTGCCAGATAGGTAAGATGGCTTTTCACAGGCTGCACAGTTGGTGAGTGGCAGAGACTCAGCTCATGCCCTCCAATACACTAGGCTTCATGATGAAGCCTAGTGTATTGGAGGTGTGTGCAGTGCAAACCTGAGTTGAAAAGACTTCTCCATGGCAACAGCCACCTGTGTGCAAGGACTGAGCATCACAGAAGTGGTAGTGATGCCTACAGAGGACAGCAGAGAGCAGAGCACGGTGTGGGTGTGCCTTTGGGCAGCCACTATGGGAGCCTAGGGGAAAGGGCTCCAGGCTTGAGGTGGGTTTTCATTCTGTATTGACATCACCTCTGACACTTGCACCTGTTCTGGGCATGAGACCCAGTAATGCCTCAGATACTGCCCTATGCTGAGGCCTGCATTTCAGGTGAGTTGGGCTGCAGATACCTTTAGAAATGGGGCAGCACAAAGCATGCTAAGAGTGAATGCACATGCTCAGTGAAAGAAGCCAGACACAAAAGTCTCATATTTCATGATTCTGTTAATATGAAATCCTAGGAAAGGCACATCTATAGTTAGAGAAAGCAGGTAAGTGGTTGTTAGGGGTGAGGTTAGGAAAAAATTGCAAAGGAACATGAGAGAAATTTGGTCGGTGATTGAAATATTCTATATATTTATTATAGTATTCTTTTGTTAAAATTCATTAAATTGCACTCTGCAAATTTATTGCATATAGGTTATACAAATGGTCCCCAATTTATGATAGTTTGATTACATTTTTTTTTTTTTACTTATACATATTCAGTAGAAACCAGTTAAACTAAGCTGATGTTCACTAGGTTAAATGCAATTTTGACTTAGATATTTTCAACTTACAATGGATTATTGATACATAACCCCATCTTAAGTTGAGCATCTGAGCTCCCCCCCCCCATTTTAAAAAGCAAATGGAAATTCACTTTAAAAAGTTCATTTTTAAAACA